TATATAGATATATGTAAATATATATATATATAGTGTATCGCTTATCTACTATCCATTAATATACCCTTTCATCACCAATCCCCTCCAGTCTCTACGCTCATACGATTGCTCTAATGCTCTGATCTCTTATCTACCTATACACCAATGCTCGATAGTCACTGCGAACGTCTCTGTTGGCAATGCAGCCGCAGCTCTTAGGCGCAATGGAGCGTAACGACAATGAGAAGTGTATGTGTGTGTGCAAATCTTATCTATTTTCAACGACAATGAGAAGTGTATGTGTGTGCAATTCTTATCTATTTTCAACGACAATGAGAAGTGTATGTAAGTATGCAAATCTTGCCTGTCTTGTCCTGTCTGCCACCTCTTCCTCTATTCCGTGTATGTTAGAATCTTGCTTAGTTACAAGACCTGTGCAGCGAGAGAGCAAAGTGTGTTAATCATCGTTGTTTATCTTATCTCGTCTAGTTTTGTTTCTATTAATGACTGTTGCCTGTGGGTTCTATTGGCCTGCCGCGCCCTTCTGCTGTACATTTGCACACAGATTTGCACGACGTTTTGTACGACCGATTGGTACGTCCTCGATCCCACTCTCAACGTACCTGTATCGCTTGCTTTGCATGCTGTGTACGCACTCTCTGTTCCTGTTATATATATTCATTCTATTGTAAACCTCTGTTCCTGTTATATATATTCATTCTATTGTAACCCTCTGTTCCTGTTATATATATTCATTCTATTGTAAACCTCTGTTCCTGTTATATATATTCATTCTATTGTAAACCTCTGTTCCTGTTATATATATTCATTCTATTGTAACCTCTGTTCCTGTTATATATATTCATTCTATTGTAAACCTCTGTTCCTGTTATATATATTCATTCTATTGTAACCCTCTGTTCCTGTTATATATATTCATTCTATTGTAACCCTCTGTTCCTGTTATATATATTCATTCTATTGTAAACCTCTGTGTGTACATGTCCTCGCTCACCTAAGCGAATCGGCCCTTGCTCTTCATTGGGCTTATATCTACACAGGCAGCGCTGCTATGTACCCAAAGTGGTAGTCTGTTAATAGTAGGTATTCATAGTTTTATTGGGCTTATATCTACACAGGCAGTGCTGCTATGTACCCATAGTAGTAGTCTGTTAATAGTAAGTATTCATAGTTTTATTGGGCTTTTATCTACACAGGCAGTGTTGCTATGTACCCATAGTAGTAGTCTGTTAATAGTAAGTATTCATAGTTTTATTGGGCTTATATCTACACAGGCAGTGCTGCTATGTACCCATAGTAGTACAGCAGGCGCGGCGTTCACAATGGCACATCTGACTGAGTCAACTTATTCAGACTTAACACTGTACTAAGCACTTCTTGGTTGTGACTAAATTTCTAAGTGTCTGTTGATGGTAAGTATCTACAACCTTATACGTTAACCTTGTACGTTGACGTACCTCCTACTCTGACGCATGGGCCTCGTGAGACCTCCAGTGCAGGCCTAGTGAAAGTAGGTATCGGTAGGTAGATATATATATACGTTATCAATTTACGTTGACGTTTATGCTGGTCTGATACGTGTATGTCTTGTCTACCCCACTCCCCGCAGTATTCCTGCTTGAGATTCGGGCGAAGGTGCAGCGATGTATTGATACGCGGAACAAGCTCATAGAAACGCGAAGAAAGCACCGGGAAGAGCAGGAACTATTGCAACGCATGCAACTAGAGCAGAAACTCAAACTCATGCAACAACAGGAGCAGTACCAGCAGTTCCAGCAGAGCCAGTACCAGATGCAGGTAACGGGTTTAGGGTTAAATAAGCATACGTATGCTTGTGTTTTAATGCGTTTGTATATATGTATATGTATATGTATACGTGTATATATATAT